GATTGAGAGCACACCAAACTCCAATTTTTTGAGCGTGTAGAGGGCCCTCGACAAAAAAGTTATCTGGTTTTTCAGAAGACCACATTCTCATATTCTGTGAGTTTACGTAACCACTTAAATGAAACCAGGCTTCATCAGAAAAAAAGGTGATATTATGAAGTTCACCGTAGTTGTTTAAAAACCATTCACAAAATACAGCCCGTCGCGGAAAATCAACTTCATGAAGTTCTTGCTGACAAGTTAAACGATAGGAGAACAAACGCAAATCTTTTTTTAACACTGTGTGGCAGGTACCGACTGATACTCCCACCATTTGTGATAAAACACGTACAGAAGTTCTTGGCGCATTTTCCATTATTTGTTGGACATTTTCTTTTAATTCTTCAGTCCGCTTTTTAGGTCGGCCGCTTCCTTCTTTTCTTGTTACACTGCCCGTTTCACGAAAAACATTAACACAACGCTGAACTGCACTTTGAAAAATTTTGTACTCAACAACGCCGGGAAATTGATTTTGAAATTCTATGAAACATTCCTCAATAGAATACTTCCATATTCCATCAATCTTGCGTCCATTTCTAAAGTAGGACTCTATGATAAACACTTTTTGTTCTTGAGAAAACACCATTTTAAACGCTTTTTAAAACGAAAATATTCAAATTGATAGCGGCGATATAGCGCTTTGACAGATGACGTTTAAGTTCATTTGCTATACGCTACGCCCTACGTCCAAATTTTCAGAACCAACTTGACCACGTTTTTATTTGAACGCTCGTTATAATAAACAAATGTATCTGAGCGATACTAGGCCATAAGCAGATTAGTATTACTGATGCAACGACTGCCTATGGGGTAGTTTCACATTCCATGCATCTTATCACAGAAGTGGTAGCATGCCTTATAATTCATTTATATGCTTTCTATATTACGTCGGAAACCAAACATTTAAAAAATGTTAAACAGCTATAATATATATATAATGTGCTAGAATTAAACAAATATATTATTTTGAAAATATGACTGTTCCAACATTACCTATAGATATTGCCTTTGTTTAAATTTGAACTTTTTTAATAAAAAATATATATAACGGCTCAATAAATTCCCGATTTATACCTATATATGCCGCCAAGCCGTTTTTAAACCCCCAGTTATTGTAGCCATAAAAATAAGGGGTCTGTTACCGTTGGTTAAACAAATACGTTTTTTACGAGTTTTGAAACGGCCGTTTTGGATTATCAGGTATCCGGTAATAAATATAATTGTTACTGGAACATTAAGTCAGTGGGATATAGACTGTATTATATTCAAATTGGACCGATAATCTGCCAAATAATGGTTTACCCAGGGTCCTATTTTCGTTTTATTTTATCTGCTACCCATTATTTTCTTTTATCTACTTCGATTGGGATATAATTTGATTTAAAGAGGATATTGCAGAATATGTAACATATCATTTTTTATCACCGTAGTACTTGGAAAAATCGGTATTATAAAAGGTGGCGCAAAAGTTGTCACCCGATGTTCTTTGACTGTAATTTTTTTAATAAATGAAAAACTTTCAGTTTTACTTTTGGATTGTGTTTATTTGATTAAGTAGAAAAAATGTTATCGGCCAAGTTGCCGCCGCCAGGATTGATGACCATACGTGCCCGATTTATGGCATTTTCCATCACTCTTGCCAGAACTTCCGGCAATAGGTTCCCGCATTCTTGACGGATATTCTCTTTGATGACTTCAAGAGTCTGAGGCTTGTTGACATAGACTCGTGACTTCAAGAAACCCCACAAAAAGAAGTCTAGAATTTCAGTTGTGGATCGTGCAGTATGCGCCGTTGCTCCATCCTGTTGGAACCACACTCCAGTTCCAATTCGTCCAGTTGAGGTAGGAGAAAGTCGTTGAGCATGGCTCTGTAGCACTCGCTGTTGACAGTAGTCGTTTGGCCCGCGGCGTTTTCGAAAAAATAAGGCCCGATGGCGCCTCCAGCGTAAACACCACACCATACAGTAACTTTAAGCGGGTGCAATGGCTCTTCGTGTGTTATACGCGGAATTTCGCTGCCCCAGAAGCGATAATTCTGCTTATTCACGTATCCATAGAGATGGAAATGGGCCTCGCTCATGATGATTTTCGATGGAAAATTGTCTTCTTCGTGGTCGAGATTCAGGATGGCTTGAGCGTAGGTTACACGCGCTATTGGCGGTCAACGGCTAGCAGCTGGTGCACTGTCTGCACTTTGTGAGGGAACATCTTCAAGTCTTTCACCAAAATTCTCTGTAAAGACCCCGATTTATGCCCAATTGCGTGGCACGCCGTTTGGTCGATACTCCGGGGTCCTCTGTGACATCTTCAGCTACAGCCGCAATATTTTCAGCAGAACGGCTGATCTGGGGCCGCCCAGACCTGACAGCATCTCATGTTGTCCCATACTCTTCTAGGCGAGCAGATAAACGCCGTAGTGTTTGCCCAGTTGGTGTCAGACGACCGAAAAATCTACGTCTAAATTCACGCTGCGCCAACACCACCGACGAATTATTACGCAAAAAAATCGAAACAATTATTCCGCGTTCTTGAGGCGTATAGCGATTCATGTCTTATTGACATGCATTTTGTGTCTGTTTACTTCACAAATGTCAAAGCTGAACTGATATTTACCGCCATTTGCAAAAATTATAGCATCTTCCAATAGGGTGATGACTTTTGCGCCACCTAGTATAAACCTGCTGTTAATGTAAAACTCCCAATTAAATTGAGTTATATATAACAATAGTAGCTAACAATTGTATATTTATTATCCATAAAATTAAGACATACAATAATTCTAGCTCATAAGACTGATTAGATTTTTTAATTAGAAATTAGATGAATACGAAGAAAACAACATACTATAGTATAACGTCTGGCTACGAAAATAAAAATGATACGGTGCAGTGAAATTTTTTATATAATAACCCTCCTTACAAACTGACTTACACGTAGCACTATAGCCAGAAGTCGCTCCAGGGGAGGGAAGCGTGAGCGTAAGGTCAAAAGCGTATATTTTTAGCCAAAATAAAATCTTGCGGTGCAGTTTTGAAAACACGTGATATTATTGACAGAAGTCGGCAAGGTTGTAAAACAAAAATTTAAATTTTAATGACAAGGTGCAGTTCTAGCGATTTCGTTTTTTCAGTCTTTTGAAATGTAGAAAAAATTGTTAGTAACCCCAAGAAGGTTAAATATACACTTTATATTGATAGTAAAAAATAATTCATTGAATTCAGATCGAGTACGTAATATTTTATTGAATTTCTGTTTCGTTGAATTATGTATTTTAACGGATGATAGAGTTATTCTAAATTATTAAATTCTGCTTGGTATTATAATATTGAAAATATCATTATTTTTTCGAGAACGATTTTAGAATTCATAGAAACTTTTTATCTTAAAATTAGTTCACCCTTTAACGTTTGTACAAGTACTTAATAAACACCCTGTATATAAAGGTAAATATTGTTATGATTATGAATTCGTGTTTGTGTAAGCGCCAAAATATTTTGCTTTTTTATAGTGATATGTTTGTATAACTGTTTTGGTGCACTGTTGGTTGTCTAACTTTGCCCTATCTTTTTCCTTTACAATCATTCCTTGTTCACTATCATTCATATTTATAACTTCACTTATTTCTTTGAAATCTACCCATATATCATTTATGCACACCTTTCTATTTTCATAATCTAATTTGGCTTTGTATTTGTTTAAATAATCTGATCCTAAGACAATGTCCATGGTCAGGTTAGGTACTATTAAAAGTTGAAATACTATTTTCTGATTATTTAATTCTAAATTAATATTTAGCAATTTGTTAACATCATACAGTTTTTTGTTATTTGGACCTACTAATGTTAATTTATTTACTTTAATTATGTGTTGATTCAAATTTTGAAATTTTTCTACTATGTTTTGACTTATTAATGACGCTTCAGAACCTGTATCAAGTAGTATATTTAAATTGGTATTTTGAAATTTCGAATTTACATAAATTAAATTATTATTTTGATTTATTATTACGTTTTCATCTAATGTTATAAATTCTCGGGGATGAATATAATTACACTTATATAATTTAATTATTTTGTCTGGCTTGCATTTTACTGAAAATTTTGAAGATCGTTTGTATTTTGTCTTACTGATTCCCTGTCTAAAGATCTGGATCTCGGTGTTTCAAACCTACCATCTTCATTTCTGGGCATTTCAGCTCGTTCTTCTGATCTGCTAGGACTTCGTCGTCTCTGAAAATTAACTTGCCTTCGAGGCTGTACAACTTCTTCCCCTCTCGATGATTGATATTGATTGCGCCGTGTATTGTTGTATTCATTTTGTCGAAAACCATGGTTGAAATCATTATTATAATTGTTAAAATTTCTATTATTGTTAACATGAGCATTTTGAGTACGTTGTATTGTATTGTAAATTGTTAGTATTGTTATATCGATTGGTGAAATTATTATTATTATTCCGAAAATTATTATTAAATTTCATTCATTCATTATTTCAGTCATTATTTTGATTGTAGTGATTAATTGCCGAAAATTATTGTAGTTTCTATTATTATTAAAATTGTTTTGATTTCTATCATTTTGTTTTGTAAAATTTCTGAAACTGTTTCCCTGATGGTTACTTGAATTTTGAAAATTGTTACAATTCATGTTACTGGAATTTTGATAATTACTAGGCATATTTCTTTCTACTCTAGTCAAATAGTTATACATATGCTCCATTATTTTTATGTCTTGCATTGCGATGATTTCTGCTACTTCTTTTTTGAACTGTCGGGAAATATACAATACTAAATCTTGTTCACTTATTTTGGGTATTAAGTACTGAGCTAGCGAGTATAGTCTAAGTGCATAATTAATGAGACTGTTGGATATGTGTGGATTAAACTTTTCAAAATATAACCTTTCTCTTACCATTAACTGTGCATTGTCACCCCAAAAATGTTGTAGGAATCGATTTCTTAATTATTCGTAATCTTGAACATCATTTTCTATGCCATTGAACCATATCAGTGCTTCTGCTTCCAAGTTTTCTCTCATAATTTCCTTTATTCTCTCCAGTTTAGTATCTTCATCTAATCTTCCTTCTTCTATTTCTTTAATTCTCTGGTTAATAGATTTTATAAATACCATTGGGTGTAACTTGTTTATGTTCCCTGTAAATTTATGTATTTTTCTGTCTCCTTGTCAAATCCATCTTGTAACCAAATCTCCTTCTCGTCCTTTCAATTCTCTTACTCTGTCAACTTCTTTTTGGAGTTCTTCTATTTGTTCTTTTGTTCTTCTTCTTTCCAATTCCATCTCGTTTCTGTTCCCACTTACTCTATCTTCCACCTGTCGTTTCACCTGTTTAATGTTGTAAGTATTATTCGAAACATTTCTTCCAATAGTTCTCACTTCATCTTCCTGTTTCTTTATTGTTTCTTCTATTTCCATCGTTTTATTCGCTACCATTGCTATCTCCTGTTCTGTCTTTTCCATATCTTCTTTTAAATCTTGTTTCCATGTTTGTGTTTCCCGTCGAATTTCTTCCTTGATGGCTTGTACTTTTTGTTTAATTACTTTTACCATTGTTTCCATATCTTCTTTTCTTCCTTGTTCAAATCTTTTTAAATCTTATTTTCTTCCTTCTTCTAATTTTTGTAAATCTTCTTTTCTTCCTTCTTCTAATTTTTGTAAATCTTCTTTTCTACCTTTTTTTATTGTTTCCCCTGGTCTTCTTCTATCCTCCTCTTGCCTTTTTCTATCTTCCTCTTATCTTTTTCTATCTTCCTCTTGTCTTTTTCTATCTTCATCTTGTCTCTTTCTATCTTCTTGTATGGTTTTCATCATATCTTCTAACATATTCTGTATTGCCGATTTTCTTCCTCTTCCTGTTATTAGTCCTGGTTCCATTGTCGTTTCTTGTTCTGATAGAGACGCACTTGATTCTTCAATCAATTTATTAATTCAAACCTCAAATTAATTTTATTAATTAATAATAATAATAGCGACAAAAGCAATTTGATATAAAATAGGTGTTATAAAATTTTATTTATTTCTTTCCTTAGGAAAGAAATTTTTTCAATTTTGTATGCTTTGCCTTGCGCAGTCAAGTTTTACGGTGGACAGTTTTCAGTGCTGTGCAGTACATTTTTAAATATCATTTTCGAACTGCCCATTATTTTTACAAAATTGTATTTGTATAAGTTATCTGTACNTCTAATCTTTGTAAATCTTCTTTTCTTCCTTCTTCTAATTTTTGTAAATCTTCTTTTCTACCTTGTTTTATTGTTTCCTCTGGTCTTCTTCTATCCTCCTCTTGCCTTTTTCTATCTTCCTCTTGTCTTTTCTATCTTCCTCTTGTCTTTTTCTATCTTCCTCTTGTCTCTTTCTATCTTCTTGTATGGTTTTCATCATATCGTCTAACATATTCTGTATTGCTCCGATTTTCTTCCTCTTCCTGTTATTGGTCCTGGTTCCATTGTCGTTTCTTGTTCTGATAGAGACGCACTTGATTCTTCAATCAATTTATTAATTCAAACCTCAAATTAATTTTATTAATTAATAATAATAATAGCGACAAAAGCAATTTGATATAAAATAGGTGTTATAAAATTTTATTTATTTCTTTCCTTAGGAAAGAAATTTTTTCAATTTTGTATGCTTTGCCTTGCGCAGTCAAGTTTTACGGTGGACAGTTTTCAGTGCTGTGCAGTACATTTTTAAATATCATTTTCGAACTGCCCATTATTTTTACAAAATTGTATTTGTATAAGTTATCTGTACATTCAAAAATTTTTTTCGGATAAGTTTTGAATCACCCTGTATATCACCGTTTACCCCCATGCACTGCAATTTCACCCAAAATTGGTGTCCCTGTACATCTAAGATTATTATTTGAAATCAACAGTTTTAGTTAAGCTGTAAGTTGTGCATCATAATGAATTTGTCATATTATTTGTATTTTCTACTTATACCTCCCTGTACAATGCCTTGCAGATATCACAATAAAGTTATAGAGCAAACACACAACGTTATTAGTCCTTCGTAGATTTTGCCTAAAGGGATATCAGAGTGGACCCTAGTCGGCCCGTGTAATATCAGGATAAACAGGATGCGGTGGACTAATAGTAAACAATTAATATCAAATTTTAATTAGATAAACATATCTCTTCATTGCCAGTGTTTTCTTAGGATGGATTCTATATAAAATATTACGAGATTACACGGTCTATCTGCGGTTAATCAGTATTTGCTCCCAGTGTTTTGATCCTGCAGCTGTATTGTTTTCTTAGGATAGCATACGATGTGATTTTCCTTGTACTATAAAGTTGATCTTCTGCGAACTGCGAGAATAAGATACATAGAAAGAGAAATCAGAGACATCCACTTTTCTTGTTACATATTATATAGAATACTCCAAATAATTTTAATATTAGGACACTTGTGCTACTTATTTGACACATTGAATTTACATAGTATTCAGTAGTTGAGGACTGTCACTTTTAATATACATACATACATATAATATACGAGGTTTGTACAGAAAATAACCGAAATTTATTTTTTTAACTTTATTATTAATTTTATACATTACTGGTCCTTGTCTCCTTCAAAGCACTACCCTCCCCAATTCACACACTTTTCCCAGCGATGTTGCCATTTCCCGAAGCACTCCTGGATAGTTTTATTTGAAATGGTCTTTAAAGTCCGTGACGAATTTACTTTGATGTCATCAATAGTCTGAAAGCGACGTGCTTTCAGCACTGATTTTAATTTCGAAAATAAGCAAAAATTGCAAGGAGCCAGACTTGGCGAGTAAGGTGGGTGGGGGAGGACAGTAATATGATTTTTGGCACAAAATTGACGAGTTGTCTCGTCACAACTCTGGTCTCTTATTGCGATTTTTTCACGTAGTCGTTGTAAAACGCCTTGATAGTACACACGGTTCACTGTTTCACTTTGAGGGAAGAATTCAAAATGCATAATTCCACTAAAGTTGAAAAAACGGTGAGAATCACTTTGACATTGGATCGAGACTGACGTGCTTTCTTGGGGCGTGGAGATCCTTTGTCTCCCGTTATGATCCTTTGAATGAATGTTTCATCGTCACACGATTTTCTTTCTGAGGTATGACACAATTGATATGTTAATCCCTTCTGCAATTTCACTGACGATCAATAGACGATTTACACGTACCAGATCTTTGACTTTCTGAACGCGGGAGTCATCAGTTGAAATCGAAGGTCTGGTCGAGGATCTTCGTCAATTGACTGACGATCACTTTTAAATCATGAAAACCTTTTGTGACATTATGTACGACCCCAAAGCATTATCTCCGTCAGCTTGTTTCAAAAGTTGAAAGTTTTCCTCGGTTTCAAGCCAAATTTTACTTTGTATCGTTATTCCAGAAAACGCACATTTCAAAAATCGAAACTAACATTTAAACACGTTGCACTCAAATAACAATATCAGGAAAACTAAATGAGATTCGGTTATTTTCTGAACAGACTTTGTATGAGTTGACTTAATCGAAATGTAGCCAATATTTAGCCAGTCTTCCAAACTTGTGCATTTTGAAATTTTTATTTTGTAAATTTCAATGTTTTTTTTTGGTTTTGCCGAAAATATTATAAGTAGTTGGTTATTTAATAATAAAGAACAAATAAAATATGATTTGGTAAGTATAATGTCTATAAAAAATATATCACTTCTCAGTTATTGTTTTCTGAGAAAAAAATTGAATGACCTGTTACTTTGAAAGAAGTACTTCAATAGAAAAGTTCATTTGTAGGACTATCTCCAACATTTAACTTAGGTACTACGTTTATTTCTGGAATCTCCTATATTTCATTATTAAAAAAGATTACTTATGTCTTTATTAAATATATTCTAATACTTTTCTTTAATATATTAAATTATTTATATAGTACAATTTATAATTAATTAATTACTATTTACAATATTCTCGATATGCCGACTACAACAAAGTAGTTAATCATATAGTCATTAGAATAGTAATTACATTTATATAAGCAGTTACAGCAGCTTTTTTGATATCTTGAGACAACTTAATAGCTAAATTAGATATAATTCCATAATAAAATATTAAGCGTAGAACCCGGACATTTCTCATAACAAAGTAGAAATATTTGACATCTAAAAGAACATAAAGTTTGTAAGTATTCATTAATGATTTTGTGGGAAACAGCTACTCTGCAGATTACAGTTCCATACAGCATTGAATTGAATTTGAATTTCGGCTGTAATTCAATGTTGGACGGAGCTTAGCAATTCCGTCAGGTATAAACAAAAGTGAAAATGTGGCATTTTTGAAAACTATAGAACCTAGCCTACCTGTTATGAATAGTTTAATAAAAATCTTAAAATGAATACTCTTTATCCATATTATGTAACAGCTGAGAATAGCACCCATGTTTATAGGAACTTTTATGTTTATTTTAGGTCCCTGAATACGTACCTAAAGTGTTCACGTTTCTTCCTGAATCACCCTGGTGTGCCAGAATAACGTGTATAATGGAAGACCACAGATTCGTGGTCTTAAGATAGGCAGATTTAGGCTAATTCACCTATTTCCGAAATCGATTAATTTGGCCGCTAGATGGCCTCAAAGTTAGTCAAAATTTTTTGAATTTTGTAAATAACTTGAATACATATTAGTCGATTTTGATTATTTTTGGGGTGTGAACTTTTGCTTTCGATCAAAAAATTTGGTGTTTTTAAAACTTACAACTTCTACAAAACTGATAATATCCGTTCATAACTTTTTCTTCTTTTAGGTAATAATGACAACTATTTTTAATTTGATAGGTGGTACCATTTGGAAGTTTTTGGGACTCTTGTAGAATTTCGATTAAATGGGCGGTTTGGGTACAAAAAAATATTTTTTAAATGTCTACATTATCTTGCCACCCATATTACAATACTAAGTGCTATTAGGCACTGATTTTATAGGTTGATTGTAATTTCAGTTTGATCTTTAAGTCATTGTACCTGCCAGTTCTTAATGAGTATTTACTAAGATAAGATATACCATATGTTACTCCATTTTTCGATATCGATACACACACAACACGACGAATTAGAGTTATTTACAACATCCTAATTTTATTGAGATAATTAGAAAAAACAGTCAAATACAATAAAAAATGCTGGAGATAAAAACAACAAAGCTGATGTTATTAAATTTAGTACCATTCGTTGTTTCTACAACAAAGGTTAATTCAGCAAAAAAAGTTAAAGGGCACCCTTTGCAGTTCTTGAGGGCCATTTTTTAAAACATGGTAATTTGGATATGCTTCCACAACTCTTCTTCAATGTTAGATGTGGAAGCATACACTGTTGTTTTCAGAGTGCCCCAAAGACAATAGTGTTAAGTCTGGTGAACGTACAGACCAGTTAACAGGAGCATTATTTATTTATTTGTTTTCTTTATTTATTTTCCCAACAGGCACAAATACCTAATTACATGGAAATAATTACTACACTAAATTGAACAATATGTGACTACCTAAAGCAAGCACACTAACAAAGATTAATAACCAAAATACAAAGCAGCACTGTATCAG